GCTAGGGAAAAAAGGGTGAGATCCATTTTGAAAAGTAATTAAAACATAAAGGGCTACAAGTATGGATCAAGTGGTAGGTTGCTTTCCTATCAAACACAAAAGGCTTAACTGAGCAAACATGTGGAAAAGGTAGCTCAGTGAATATCACAGTGGAAGGTATTCCAGGCAGTGAAAATAGCTATGGAAAGTCTTAACTAAAGTCCTAAAAGATAAGGTCAGAGAGTTCAAGTGGGACTTTCAGATCATTTACTGAGTTGAATTATTGCAGAATAAAATCTCAGGATTTTTATCAGTTGGGTGTTAAGATTTGAGTAATGTTTTAGGGGATTTGCCTTTTCTCACTCTGAACTCCTGTGTTGATGTTGAACCCAGGGTTTCACATGCTAGGCAAGCCTTGTATTGCTGATCTCCATGCCCAGCCCAGGATGCTTGTTCTTCATGCTGCACTGAGGAGAGACTATATACGTACCAACCATCTATCTGTGCAGGAGACCTGCAATCAGCTGGAACATTGTGAGACAGCCAGACAGACAGTAGCAGTATACTAAGCCTTTAATACATTCTAATGACATAGTTATCTTAGTTTGTAGTTTTGCACATTGCTTTTGATATACCCCCTCATAGTGATTTAATAGATTACAAGTAGCCCTTAGTCATAGGCAAAATTGGAAGGCTACAGACAATTTTTGAAAGTGTGTAGGAAATGCAGAAAAGACTTTCAGTAGGGGATTAGTTTTTGATCTGTCAAGACCTTGAAAATTTAGTACTAAAGATGGCCAGTTACTTCTAACACTGAACAAGAATGTTGCAGATTTTTTTGTTGTTTTTGTTGTTGTTGGTTGTGGGGCCTGAACTCTGGACCTGGGTGCTGTCCCTCAGCTCTTCAGCTCAAAGCTAGCACTCTGCCACTTGAGCCACAGTGCCACTTGTGGCTTTTTCTGCTTATGTGGTGCTGAGGAATTGAGCCCAGGGTCTCATGCATGCAAGGCAAGCACTCTACCACTGAGCCACCTTCTCAGCCCCAGAATGTTTCAGTTTTGAGGCAACTTCAAAAATATTCACATAAAGGACAAGCCCAATTCAAATAGCACTATACAGGACATGGTAAAATATGATATTTTAAGTAAAACACAAGTAACCTTTCCAAGGTCCAAACTGGGCAAAGACCAAGAGGTCTCATGAAGATATATTTCTTTCTGAGCATAGGAATCTTATGTTAAATTAAGCTATTTTGAAAAGTAGCTCACTTATGCTGCAATCCATTAACAATTATATGAAATATATTCTGTCTGTACAATATGAAAACTTTTATTTTGTAAAGGTCTATGACTAATGGAAGATGATTTTAAGATGCTCCCATTTCTAAGAATTTCCTTTAATAGCAAAAGCTCAACTAGTGTAGTAAAGCTCATAAAAAGCGAACACAGAAACAGTAAGCCCACTCACTTCCGCTTCAGTCCTGTAGGAAGTCAACTGTCTGGTGACTCAGGCTTGTGCCATTCTATTTCTTGTTCTGGCACTGTTTCCAGGGAGGCAGTGGGGACAGGAACTCATGATGCTAACTACTACACTGGCCTAGGAAATTAATCTCTTCTGTAAAGGAACTCCAGACTTCCTAATCAGGACAACTACTTGTGAAGTCACATTATGTGTAATGGAACTACTCAGCTATTTTAACCTCAGAATCTGGGCCTCAGAATGGTGTATATTCTGGCTTCTTGTTCTGTTTGGGTTCAGAGTTAGCTTTGGGTATATGGGTGTTTTTTTTTTTTTAATTCTGCACAGTTGAATAAGGTAGAATGTTGTGCCTATCCCTTTGGGTTTTGATTTTCTCTTTTTAAAGGACATTAGTGAGCTGGGCACCGGTGGCTCACACCTGTAATCCTAGCTACTCAGAAGGCTGAGATCTGAGAATCACGCTTAGGGAAGAGAAGTCCCCAAGAGACTCACCTCCAATTAATCACTCAAAAACCCAGAAGCAGCACTGTGGCTCAAATGGTAGGCTAGCCTTGAGCACAAAGAGCTCAGGGACAGCATGCCCAAGCCATGAGTTCAAGCCCTGCAATCACCACCACCACCACCACCACCAACAACAACCACCACAAAAAAGAAAAGAAAAAAGAAACAAAACAGAAGATATTGGAGCATTTTAGTGACATTTTTGCTGTTTGTTGTACAAAATAATGATGTCATTTTCATACAGGTTTAGAATGTGATTTGATCATATTCATGTTTTGTTTTTAGATTTAGATTTATCACCCACATCTGATAGAAAATATGTTGCTATGTGCCTGGGTATGGCTTATTTTGCCTAAAATGATGTTTTCTACTTTTTTTTCTCTTGAAAATGACATAACTTCATTCTTCTTTTTGGACAATAAAATATTTCATTGTATATATTAGATATGCATATTGCTAGTAACTGTCATTGTATGGGACAGAAAAAGGAACTGTGTGGATAGTAAAATTTAACATTTGAATTTCAGGTAAAAAATTCAGTTACTTCAGAAGTGTTCTTTTTGCTTAGCTCTTTCTTAGTTGCTTAGTTGTGTTATTTTTCTTCTCCATTATCTATTATGGAATGCATAGTATTGTTCTCAACCTTTGCTATACATCAGTTAGCTGGGACCCATATTTTCAAAATAAACATATAAATTTCTTCATCCTAGAGATTTACTCATTTTGGTCGGTCATGGGGCTTGAACTCAGGGCCTGGGCACTGTTCCTGAGCTTTTTTCCATGTCAGCCACCTGAGTAGCTAAGATTGCAGGAGTGAGCTACCAGCTACCAGGCTTGAACCCAGGTAGTATTTAAAAACAATAACTACAGCAATTTTCTTGTGTAGCTATGATTGAAGACCACCATGGTTACTAGATTTATAAGGCCGTCTGATTTTGGTCTTTAATTTCCCTATGGCAATGAAATACTAAGAGATGTAATACATCCTTTAATTCTATAATAAAATTAAACAAATTGAGATTCACATAATCTCATCTAGTTTGTCTAGTTCCTAAACAAAATTATCTGGAGTAAGCATCTTGTTGAAGCAGGTGATTAGGAATAATAATAACAATGAAGCACATAGCACATTTCCGGTGGGGTTTTTCTTTTTCTAGTTACAAGGCATGGGAGGAAAAAAAAAATGTAGAAATTTAGGCTTCCAAATCACCGGAGTCATTTAGGGCTGCTTAATCTGTTCCCAGTTCTCTAAGTCCGGAGCTAAAGTCAGATGGTGTCTGGGGAACAAAGGAAGGAGGGAGAGAGCTTACTACACAAGAAGGTAAGTATAATACAAACCCCAAAGGCTTTACTCACAAGACCATAAGGTGGCCTGCTACTACACCGAGCGCACAGACACCTGCACACCCTCTCTCCACCCGGACCGGGGCTGACCCCAGGCCGCACCCCCACTTTGTGCACTCCATCTCCAAACCCTACCTCTCCCGCCTCTGGCCACCTCCATCCTCCAGGAGCTGGCTTCCACCACAGCCCACCTTACGGGGTTGTTAGCTGCGGCCTCTTCTGTAAGAAAGTGAGCGCTCCAAACGGTCTGAGACCGAAGCCCTTGGCCCATCCTTTCTCCCAGAGGAGACCCAGTACTTCCATGCTCGTACCCAACTCACTGTCTCCTCCATGGTCCGCTCGCTACCCCGGGTTTCCAGAACTTCCTTACCCCTGGGCTCGCGACACCGCCTGCGCTTCCCATTTTCTTCCTTCCTTCAGGTCACCCCCCGCGGCTCTACCCCTTCCTGCTCCCCGAATTCTTGACACCTGGGGGTAGGGGCTAGGAATCCACCTGCCACTACCCCTCCTAGGACGACTCCCGGACACCTCCTCCTGCGCTCGCTCTGCCCTAACGTCACTGCCCCCTCCCCCGCCCCGGCTGGATACCCCAGCCTCGGACCCTCGCACCCAGACTTCACCCAGCTGGGCGCCTCCACCTTTCTCCCTCCTCACCGGCCACACCTGGCGCACTCGCCCGCACCCTACACCCGCCCGCCGTCCCCTCCCCCTGCCCGTGATAACTTGGGTGCCCCCTCTCCCCCGCCCCGTCCCCGCTGGGCCCCAACCCACAGTTCGCGCTCGAGAGGGCGCCCGCCTTGGCCGGGCCTGGGCGGCGAGGTGGTGACGCGGCCCCCGCGGGAAGAGCCGGGGAGGCGGAGGGCGGAGGCGGCGCAGGCGGAGGCGCCCAGCAGCGGCGGCGGCGGCGGCGCAGCGAGCGGGCCCTGGGCGCGGACTCCGCCGACCCAGGGGCGGCGGCGGCGGCGGCGGCTGAGGGACCCCGGGCGGGCGCAGAATGACGAGGGGCGGGCGCCCGACCTCGCTACGCCTCGGAGCTCGTGTGGACGCGGGCGTGGGCAGCCGCGGGGCCCTGACCCCGACACCGGCCGCCGCTGGCCCCTGCCGCTCCTCCCCGGCTCCCGCGGCCTCGCGCTAGCCCGGGTGGGGGTGGGGGTCTCCTGCGGCAGCCGGGGCCGAGCCCTGCAGCTCCGGGAGGGGGCCTCCCTCACCGCGCGTCAGCCGGCCGGACGGCCGAGAGGCTTCCCGCGGGGAAAGCGCCCCGCTTCCTCACGGTCCTCCCAGCTCCCGCCTCGGCGCTCCCCGGCCCGCGGGACGCCGCCCCCGGGCGCTCCCCCTGGGGAGGGGGCGTTCGCCCGAACCCCTCCTCCCAGCGAGCGCCGCCGCGGCCCGACGCCCGTCCCGCCCGCTCCCTCCAGCCACCCCACCCCGAGACGTCCCCGCGGCCCGCCCCGGCCGCTAGGCGCTCCCGGCGTCTGGGCCTCCGGCTCCTCTCCCCGCCCGAGCCGCTCGCTGCCCCGCTCGCTCACTTGGCAGCCCTTCGCCCCCGGGAAGAAGAGACATTTCCCGGCCCTCTCCCCCGCCCGCCCTCCTCCCGCCCTCCCCTCCCCTCCCCCTGCCTTCTGGGGGGAGGGGGCTGTCGCCTCGGATTGAAGGCCATTGATTTGTATGCATTTGTCCCGGCGCCGGAGGCTGCCCCGGCCGCCCGCGCCCGCGCCGCCGCCAGTGGAGTGGCCTCCCCGCCGGTCTAGGGTGCTTCGGCTCCACCAAACATGTCGGCTCCGGTCGGGCCCCGGGGCCGGTCGGCTCCCACCCCGGCGGCCTCTCTGCCGCCTCCGCAGCCCGAGATGCCCGACCTCAGCCACCTCACGGAGGAGGAGAGGAAGATCATCCTGGCAGTCATGGACCGGCAGAAGAAAGAAGAGGAGAAGGAGCAGTCTGTGCTCAAGTAAGGACCCGGCTCCATCTTCCCGCGTCCCCTTCCTCCCTGCCAGCCCTCCGCCCCCTCGGCCGCTGCCCGGCGGCCGCCCGCGCGTCCCGGACCGCCACCCGCCTCCCTCCCGCTCCCCTCCCGCCGGTGGCGCCCGGGCCACGCGGGCGGCCGGCGCGGCCGCGGTGGGTTGTCGGGGCGCGGGGGGTGTGTGTCGGGGCGGGCGCCTGGGGTGATGGGGGCGCCCTCCGGCTTTCGCCGCCAGCCCGCCCGGCTCCCGGGCCTCGGCCGGGCTGGGACGGAACCGGACTCCGCGCGTCCCTTTTGCTTTCCCGCCGCCCCCGCGCGCGGGGAGGCTGTGACTGGGGCAAGGAATCCAATATGGCCGTGCACAGGTGCTCCCGGCCGGACCCGGGCCAGAGCGCGCCGGCCCGGGGTGCGGGCGCCGCCGGGGGCCTCTCGTCCCGCGCGGCCGCGCTGCGGCTCTGCCTCCCCGCGTCTGGAAGAGCGGGGCTGGCCACGACTGCCGCGGGCCGGAGGGCAGCGGCGTGGGCGAGGGGCCGAGGCTGGGTGGCGTCTCGGGTGGGTGTGCGGCCGCCGCCATCTTCCAGCCCCTCCCCCGGCGAGTGCTAACACCCTGCACTCCGCTGCTCTTGCTGCGTGCTACTCGTCAGCGTGTTTAATCCCGAAGACACTCCAGCGCCTTCCACGATTTCAGTCTGGGTTGCAAAGTTCTGTTTGTGCTCCTGGTCCAGGCGGGCCGGGCTTCTGCCGCGGGTGCGGGCGGGAAGGGGCGCCCAGGCGCGCGGTCGCCAGCCGGGTAACTTCAGCACCGGGAACTGTCCAGTCGGTTCACTGGCGCTTTCTGAGTTCTGGAGCTGAGATTTGTTTCTTCCAGCTTTGCTTTTTAAATGTTTGATGGTGACCGGACTCTCAGTTACTACGGGGAAGAGACTGTGCCGCTGTGTAATCTTTATTGTGTGTATTTTTCCCCCCAGCTCACTCCCCCCCCCCCTTTTTTTTTCTTGAAACGAGTTTTGTACTAAAAGATTAACTGGCCTGTGCTCCCGATGGGACTTTTCCTTTACACGTCATCCAACTTCTCCCTGTTTAGCAACGCAGCAAGTGCAGAGTCTCTGTGAAGGAAAGGACGCTGACCTCTCTATACACTTAATAAAAAAAGAAAACAGGCTGCAGAATTCAGTATGCCTTCTTACATGTACAAAGGTACACTTTGTCTTCACGTGTATCTTTTTCATGTTGACAAATGGACGTTGTATAATTTGCAGTCCCCGCCATACTACATGTTTCTCACAAAGTGTAGTTTCTCACAAAGTACAATTCTTCGTAAAACGCTGAAGGCCTAAGAGAGCAAAATGTGTTTGATGTATGAACTAAAATTAAGAATTGCTTCTTCAAAGTTATCTTTTGGGTTTAAGTGCTTATTTGAGAATGTAGTTTATTATTAGGGATGGATAGGAAAAAAATAGATCAGTTTAAACAATTTCAGCTCATGTAAAAATAAAAATCATCAAAAAGAGAGATGTTGGGGCATACTCCTTACAATGGCTCAACTTTGTTACTGATACCACGCTTTCCATGTCTTACAATTTTATATGTAGATATATGAATTTATACTTTTTACTATAAGTACTAAAAAACAGTGTTGCCCAAATTATGCTCAAGTGAAAAATAGTTTAATTTCTTTGACAAACATTTAAATATAAAATGTGTTATTTATTGTCAGATCAGTGTTTCTTGGCTGATTCATAGTATGTAGTTCTGTGTTTTAAAATGTAGAACTTTTGACTGTTCAGCTAAAGATTACTCAAAATGAACAGAATACTTTCTTTCTTTCTTTTTTTTTTGTCTATCATGGGGCTTGAACTCTGGGCCTGAGCGCAGTCCCTCAGCTCTTCAGATCAAGGAGAGCACTCCCACTTGAGCTACAGCGCCACTTCCAGAATACTTCCTTTTTGAAATGCAAAAGGCCTTCCCTGGTAGCTAGATATAAAATTCACATACTGTGAAAATATATATGTGCATTTATATTTGAATAATTTAGATACTATTCTCTGAACATATTCGTGAAACATATGAAATTACATCAAATCTGACTATGTACCTTTGTACATAGATTTATTTTAAACAGTTTTTCATTTTTGCTTAACAGGATTGGTAAGGGAGAAGTCTTCACTCAAAATATACACATATATGCACATAAACACATGGGTATACATATACGTATATATGTCTATTCATTTTCATTTTAACAAATTACTTTGAAGAAGCACAATGTATTCGAAAATTTAGTTTTGAATATTCTTTAAAATGTTCCTGTAATAACATACGATTAGTTAAGAAAAATGAAGAGAGGACTAGACTTTATAATAGGAGTATAGTAATGAGAATCACATCATTTTGAAGAAGTTCACAGCTTATTCAATAATATAGGGTCACAGTTGGGTATTAAATAATAAATGTACAAGAAAAATATTTCTAGTATTCTGCATTATGAAGTTACAGTACCCATTTATGAGCCATGACTAACCTATCCTTGGTTTCTCTGTAGTGATAATCACTTAATGACACATTAACATCTTTTCTGAGTGAAGATTATGGGTACAGAGAAATGAGATGAAATTCAGATTTGTGCCTGATACCTTTTAACAACTGTGAAGAAAAGTTGGATGTGTAAAGAGATTGAAACTTGGTTAAAATGTTTTTACGTGATCTGTGAATTTCATTATTGTTAGTATTATGCAAACTCAAATGTACATACCCTAGGGCATTGCAAGATGATATGCTGGAATACAGTAAGAAAAATATTAAAACTTATATTTCTATTTTTATTTAAAAGTAAAGTAAGCTTCATTAATATTTAATCTATTAGCAGCAGTAATGTACATATATCTTAATAAATTTGCATGTATTATGAGGTTCATGCCTGAAATATTTTCAATAACATATAGGTGAGCAATCAAAACAGATTGAGACCACTGCAATAAACTTTCTCCTAAAGATCATGAATAATTAAGAGCAATTTATACTTAATTGTCAGTAATTCCCTCAAAGCCCAGTTAAGTGTACACATACTCAGGAAGTCCTCTGTATTCATCACATAATAGCATTTTCATTTGTAAATGAAATACTATAAATTTGAAAGCATTTTATATCTCAATAAATACTTAGAAATTACCTACAGATTCTTACATGAATTCCTGTAGCAGTCAATAACTACTTAACAAGTTCTTACATGAATTCCTGTAGTACTTTTGGTTTGGATAGTTTAATATATCTGTAAAATCTGTGTTCTTTACTGATCAGTGTTTTTAAACTTTGCCTTCCAAGACTCTAAACTTCTTAAATGAAAGAATCATAATTTGCGCTTTTTTATGCTTGTTTTGTAGCATTCTTAACATCTGTACATAACAGACTCTTAGGTAACATTAAGTTGAATTGTGTTAATTTAAATGAAATAGTTTACCAATTTTGTGGGAAAGTGTATAGTCATTTTTGAAAGCAAAATACAACGTATTAAAAGTTACAATTCTATTTTTAATTTTATTTTGGTGAACTATTATGAAAAATATGAAGAAAACAAACTTACTAAAATCAATTAAAAAGTATTTATTTGGTATATACATGCAGTTTTTACTTTACACACAAATATTAAAGGTTACATGTTTCCTTTTTTTTGGTGTTTCAGCTTTTTAAAAATTATTACTAAGTAGTCGTACTAAAGGGTTATTTTGGCTTTTTTGAGGTAGAATTTTGCTTATGTAGCTTAGTGTAGCCTTGAGCTCATTATCCTCTTACGTCCATTCCTGGCTCTTTATGTGTTTATTGATGTTTATTTTATCATAGGTGTTTGCTACCACACAGAACTGTTTCTGTGTTCTTGATGTATTTATTATCTTTGTTCCCTAAATAAAGGAAGATAAGAATTAATTTATGCAATATTGATGAACAGTTCTAATTTTGTTAATGATTTAATTTTTGAAGTTTCTAAATTTATAAAATTATTTAATAGGCAATTCATAAAAATATGCTAGGTACTTATTGTTACTGTCTACTGTCTACTCTTCTAGAGGGCACTATCTCAGTTACCTTATGCACAAGAGTAGATATGTATGTGTAACATCTAATGTTACATGTATCTGCATACAAACACAAAAGACCATATTTGTCCTACAGTTCACTTTTTAGGAAATATATTTAACATCTGATAATATTATCTGCCTCATTCACTGTAATGATTGTATAATATCCCATTTAATAAATGTTCTGTAATTCCTTTAATTAGTGCCATATTTATAGGTAACTAAATTGTTTTTAAGTGTTTTTCTACTAGCAACAATACTTTGACAAGTATTTTTTATATACCTCATTTTCTACATTTATTTTTTAAAATTTATTTGTATTTTTTGTTGGTCCTGGGGCCTGAACTCTGGGCCTGGGTGCTGTCCCTCAGCCCTTCAGCTCAAAGCTAGTGCTCTACCACTTGAGCCACAACACCACTTCTGGCTTGTTTTTTGCTTACATGGTGCAGAGGAATCGAACCCAGGGCCTCATGCATGCAAGGCAAGCACTCTACCACTGAGCCACCTTCCCAGCCCCTCCACATTTATTTCTGGGATAAATTCTCAGAAACAAAATTGTTTCTTCAAAGGGTCAGTATATTTTAAATTTTAATAAAATTGTCAGCTTTACTTTAATAGAGGAAGTGTGTATCAGTAACATGTACTATGAAACTTTCCTATTTCTTGCCAACTCAGTGGTTGGCAATCTTTGCCAGTATTTTTTGTGAATAACATGCCATTGTAGATTTAGCTTGCAATTTTCTTATCAGTGAGATTGAGAGCTTTTACATTTATATATAGCCATTTGTATTTCCTTTTTCTGTTAGTAATTTTTAGTGACTTGTTGAAGAGCTGTGTTCATTGTAATTTTTAGTGACTTGTTGAAGATCTGTGTTCATTGTGTTTGTGTACCTGTTTTGTACAGGATTAAAAATG